GCGTCCTCGTGCACCAGCTGTGGCAAAGGAAGGTCAAGACGGCGGAGATTCACAAGGCCATTCAGACCACCGACAAAAGGCTGGGGTATTCCGGAAAGGCGGTGGTGAGTGGACAAGGACTGTTGCTTGGATTTTTCGCGATGTACATCGAGCATCGAGCATAGTGACAGCGAGTCCAGAATCGGCGGCACGCCCCTAGACACCATAACTTTCTCGTCGCCCGCGTATCGCCGGTCGTGATCTGGGCATATTTCCGTTGGCGCGTGATACCTTCCTACCTGCTCGTACCAGTCATCGAGTCATCGGATACCCTCACCGTGGTCCCTCTGGCTCTGTTTGCGTTTTCGCGGTACTACTACTGTAAGGTGCAAGCAATGATGAAGCAGTTCGAGAACGAGGAGGCCGCCAAGAAGGGGTACGTCAACGACGCCCAGGAGCTCATCGCGTACCTCCAGAAGACCGAGTGTTGGCTTCGATTCAAGGTGGACAACGAAGGGCGCATCACGTGCATCGTTTGGGCGCATCAGCAACAGATGGCCATGGCAATGCGATACCACTCGGTGATCATTCAGGATAACACCTTCAACACGAACATGTGAGGGGGGTGTTTCGCCGTGTTTTGGAGCTTCTTACTTGGCTTTCCTGCAACACTCGATGAATCGTTCGAAATGAAAAATGTTGTATGTCGCTACTACTGACACCTGGCGCAATGCCACGCCCCCTTTGTGCTCGATGTATCTCGTGATATTTTAATCAGATACAAGTACTGAAGTTATCCCCGCCAAAGACCCGCAACTTCAGTACATATTACCAATTTTTCGAAGGGATCTTCACACGCTAAAATGGTTCTATTTGATAGCTGTTGATTGGACAGCAGTTTGCAGACACCTCACGCGAACCAGTTTTGTGGTCTGTCTCAGCGAGCGGCTGGGCTTAGGCTCCTGGAGTGTGTGCGACGCCGCTGGGTTGCGTGTTTCCTCGCACACGGTGGCGTTCGCCACACCTCACCCCACCCACGAAGGTTGTAGAAACACGCACCAGTCTAGCGAACCGTTCAGCCGATGGCTTCACCCCACGGAAGTGGAGGAGGAGCAGGAGGCAGTGGCCAGCCACCCTGCAGCACATCCAGCGGCAGTTCGCGGGATCATGCTGGTACTGCTGGACCCGACCTTGCACTCGGAGAGCAGGAGCGCCTTGTTTCTCACGCCACCAACGGACTAGAGATCACGGGCGCCTTCCAGCGAGCACCAGCGCAGCGGGGTTCTGGCAGTACTTGGCATCAACCGGCGTGGAACTCCAGCTCGACCGCCGGCCCCGACAACGTTTCGCGCAATTTTCTGGCTGCCGGGGATGAGGGCGGGAGACAACAAATCCAGTCGAGCGCCCATGTTGCCGTCCCGACANCTTGGAACTCCAGCTCGACGGCCGGCCCCGACAACGTTTCGCGCAATTTTCTGGCTGCCGGGGATAAATGAGGGCGGGAGACAACAAATCCAGTCGAGCGCCCATGTTGCCGTCCCGACAGGTATCGGCGGCGGTACACCTCGAGCGGAACTCAGCAGCAGCAGCTGGCGTCGAGAGAAACTCAACAACCAGCCGCATCTGGCGAGGTCGCAGGGCACACTGATTCCTCCACGTCATCAACGGCCGTCATCACACATCGGCCTTGCCGCTGCTGTGACGGCATCTCAAGCACCAGGGGCGGTGGAGACGGTTGCGGGCGTGCCCAATGGCACAGAGATTGGAATGCCTCCGCCGCGTGTGCCCCTCTCCTCTGCTGCTCTTGGGCAGGCAGCGTTAGCGGAGGAACTCGGAAACGTTGGAACTGCGGGAATGGAAGCGGCGGGGGTGGGAGCTGGGAGCGGCCAGGGGGTGGCGGCGTGGGAAGGATCAGGGGCAGCGGGAGGTTTGGCTTTATCTTTCGCTGGCTCTGTGCATTTTTCGGTGCAGGGGGCGCGGCCGGTGGGGTAGTGCCACAGCAACCTCTCCCAGCGGTCGGTGGCAACGACGAGGAGGAAGATGACAGCAATGGTAACTGGGCGCCCACCCCGATCCCCATCCCACATGGCTTATCTCTGAATAAAACTAGCTGGTGCTGTGGGAGAACGGAGACGATTCGGTCTATATGCGGCGGGTGTAACCGACGATGGCACTGCCACATTGCGCATGGATTGATTGACATGGACAAAGATCGCTTCACCTGCTGCTTCTGCGACTCGCCGATGAGGGCTGCGGCGGGATGTTCGTGTCACAAGTGAGTTCCGTTGTTTTTCTATGTCTAGCCTTTTCCCGCACTTTGCGCTTTCCTTTTGCTGCGATTCCATGCCGACGCTGAAGGGTTCCGCTTCAGGGAGGTATATCCAGGGACGTTCCACTGGCGTTGTATTCGAGAAGGTGGATTCGAGCGCTTTTGCTGAACGAGGTTGTGCGATGTACGTTCTACCAATACTTCTAATACTTTGTGGTTGCTGTTCAGCGTTCTGCAGTGCATCTGATAACCCTCGATGTTGTTTACTGTTGAGCACCTAGATCCTCCGCATTAATGACATTCAGCCTCAGCCTTGTAACATGGACAACGTTGAGCTGAGCGATAAGAAAATTTCCTTGCCACCACGCACTTTTTAATGCAGGTGCGTGGGCAACGCCAGGTACAGAACCAACTCTGCAACTCGTGCACAAGGCGGCCACGTACGAGCGAGTGCCGTTGATCGAACGGCGGGGCGGCGGAAGCCTACGACCAGCGTTTTCAAGCTCAAGCCCGACCCCCTGCTCACAGGAGATAGCTCGAGCGGCTGGCAGAAGGCAGTGTACTCTGTTTCCACGACCACTCGGGGTGAGCGCGTCACCGTCGTCACGAACTTCATCCCCAACGAGCCTGGAAGCTACAAGATTGTCTGCTGCAGCAGCCAGTGCATCTCCACGTAAGTCGTTTTGTGAGATGAGTTCGGAGTTTAGATTCGACCTGGCCGTTTTGATTGTTCGTATCCAACATACGGAGTAACTCAGTTAAATGCTTCCCCCGGAGTTATTAGATCGTGATCAATACCGTTGTGCGTGCGGCCAGAGCTCTTATAGGTGAACTTATGCGGTTGAACTAATGTGTAAACTCTTTCGCCGTGATTTCGTGATTTGCAGCACCCACGCGCAGGAACCCGACCCCGCCGAAAACGTCCAGCGAATGGCAGTCGCCCGGTGTGACCACGCCATCGTAGTCGTTGGAAGCGGGACACTCCCAGTCCCGAGGGCTGGCATTCGTGACGCCACGCCTGTCGTGTTTGGCAAGAACGGAGAAGGAGTCGTCGCCTTGGCTGACAAGGCAGCGCAAGAGATGCAGTTGGGACAGAGCGGTCTGTCGGACGTTTTGCGAATGGCGGCGATGGCCGAGGAGCATGATATGCCGTTGTTGGTGCACTTCAGCGACACCAGAAGCTACGCCGTGTACCACCCAGGGCATCGATCAATTGCAGAAGGCTGGGCGGTCGTGCAGTGCGAAATCGACTTGCAAGATGGAGCTGGTGGTGCACGAAGGAGTAGGAGGACACCCGCGAAGAGGAGTTCCCAAAGTTTCCGATGCAAGGTATCGTCCGTCTGAGGTAGCAGCGGGGAATGTACTAGCTCGAAGATATACTCTTGTGTTTTTTGTCGTCGTGTTCTGGACGTAAATAGTTGTTTTGTGTGGGTGGTGGACACTCAGATGTAGCTTGCCTGCTAGGCTCGGCACAGTGGTGTTGCCCACGAACGGCCAGAGACGACTTTTTACCTCTAGCTTGAGACGGTAAGCACTGCAACTGCTATCACACAGAGGAAAAGCCAATTAACTGTCACTCCAGTTCGTTTCTACCGACGAAACTAGGTGAATGCCATGATTTGATCATATATTTTCTCTCCCTCCCGTGGTCCCCTTTATCCTTTGGTTGGTTAGGCTAATGGAGGGACGCCATGCGGTGCAGCGAGGAAGTCCAAGCGTGGGAGGTGTGTCCACACGAACATCACGGCGCTGGGTGTTATGGGCAGCCAAATTAGCGAGGAGCCCATCGACGAGGAGGAAGGGGAAGGTTCCGGCGACGAAGGCGTTGGCTCAGCGGCGTCAGAGTATAGGCGCAACAAACCCGCGTTTGCATCAAAGGTAGACAAGCTGTTGAGGGTAATCGGCACCATCAAGTTCCCGGTAGAGGTCCTTGCTGTCCTGACCGACGAGGGAGCAAGGGGCAGTCTCGACGGCGTTGGCGGCAAGCGAAAAGAGATCTGCAGCCTCCAGGCGGTGTGCCAAAAGTGCGGCAACATGCTTGGCCTATTGCGAAGCGAAACGATCACAGCCGTGGTTCCGGTGAGTGGAGTTGGCGATGGTGGAATGTTGTGGTGAGGTGCGATGATTCAGAGCTTGTGATCGCACGTTGCACCCTGGGCCAATGTCATTGTAGTTTATTGGTTGAGAACCTTTGGGAAGATCGGGCAGGACAGGAGAAGAGGGGGACGGCACTATGGGTAAGGGTTCCGCGCACCGATTGACAATTTGTGTATGACGCGAAGACTCAATGCCAGATTGCGACTATGTTTTCAATGGGGGAGAATATAGTGTAGGATAAAACACTAACAAACACTTAACATATTTGATTGCCTTTCAAATATTGAAAAATAATTTGGGATTGTGTTCAATCCTTCATCTCCCCGGGCCGCCCTGTTGTTTTCCTGTAATCTCACTGCCCAGGGTCCGGACTTGCAGGAAGTTGTGATAAAGATCAAGGGCTGTGAGGGCTGCGGTGTGGAAGCAGTGACGGGTGATGATTGGCGAGAGCACGGGTATTTCCTGTTCGGCAACAAGGTTGCGGTACATCTCTCGCACATGGTCACGGCCCGGCATGCCGTTCAAGGAGGCACGGCCATAAGCCATGCGTCCAACAACCTCCTCCGACCTTTGACGAACAACCTGCGATGGATGAGCCAGAACAAGTTGGCGAGAAGGTGGGAAGCTTGGCCGGGAGAGGGCAAGGGTATGAGATTCAACCTTGCCGGGGGCAAGGTGACTCGGGAGTTGCGTGGTTCTAGCGGTACCAACAAGATCGAGATCAGCACGACCCACCACACTTCCCGACGACCGGGCTTTCTCCATTACCTCGTGTGCTTGCTAAGACGATGGAGTATAGTGAGAACTTGGGACGTGCGCTTAAATATTGACGTATGTTCTCATGCCTTACGTTCGTACCTGTTTCCCACCCCGTTCTGCCCTCTTGCCTGCCGTACTCTGCCGCATGCCAGAGTCCTACAAAACTACCTCACGAAGCAGTTGGTGGACGCCTTCGTTTGCTTCGAGGCCCTCCCCGACCACCCGTACGCGTTCCGCAGCTGCAAGCACGGCTACACCCCACTTGTCAGCGAAGGGGATGGCTGCAACAAGCCGGCCGTGAACATCAGCATGGAAGAGTATTTCGGAGCGCGCGAGGAGCAGGTGGTGGACATGGACCTCGACTGGCTCTGGCTCATCATCAGCATGCTGTCGCCGATGGTTTTTCGGGAGACACTCCAGTTCTCGTACAACACGCCTGTCACCTTTTGCCCCCAAAACCGGAAGTCTAACATCATCACCATTCCCGCTCGCGGGAAAGCCCGGCAGCCAGGAGATGTCGAGGCAGCCGATGGCAAGGTACTCATGGACTACGTGGCGACGAAGGGAGAGGGGCAGCTGTTGGAGGACATGTTGGAAGGCATGACCAAGGACGACCTGGACGCCTTGTACTGCTTGTGCTTTGGGAAGAACGGGCCGGGAATGAGCAGGTGAGTCGATGTGTTTAAACACGACTCTTTTGCTGCTCCTCCAAGTACACACGGAGATACTTTATGTTGGGGTGTGGTGCGGTCAATTTGGCTGGAGACGGCGGTTGATCGATTTGGCACGATTTTATAGATCCAACACGGATCCAACAAAGTATGTAAAATAACCGGGACTTTTGTCGATAATAGTCTCGCAGATATGTAGGATAATCGTCGTACTCGTGTTCGGTGCAATCGCATTTGTTTCCTGTCGCGCGGGCCCCCTTGCGCGGAGTGAGGGTTCTCCACCCCGCACAACATGATCTACTCGACCACCGTGATGGTTACCGCCAAAAAAAACAACCGGAGGAAAAAAAACAACACGGTAACCTGGTTGCCGAGCTCACCAAGTGAATTGGCTTGTTTTACAACGTCGTTGCCAAGCGACGAAAACCCAACCCCGATGGCAAACACCGGGGGGGGCTGCTTGTTTTACAACGTCGTTGCCAAGCGACGAAAACCCAACCCCGATGGCAATCACCGGGGGGGGGGGTGATTAATGTTTGCACTAGTAGAGAAACACTTTTGTTCGTCATGCCTTCGAATGCTTTGCGTTGAAATTGGGATTGGGTTTTAGCGTCGGAGGTTGACCAAGCCTCGGCTTATCCCGACTTCCCCCTTTCGCTCGTTTGCGGAGACACACTAGCGGAGAGGAGTAGGGCAGATTGGCGTACACAAGGCCAAGAGAGGGAGCGGGGGGTAGCCTAGATAATCAAGCGGAGACCCCGTTTTCCGCGTCTGATTTTTTTCGAGTTGTTTTGAATTCTAATCTGAAAACTCGATGGAGGCAGGGGGTGCTGTTGTTCTGCGGGCACCTAGACTATTAAAGTATTAAGTGGTTGGGGAGAAACACAGGTTGCAGTTCGCGGGCACGCCCAAAATAAAAAGGCACATCCGGTAAGGGAAAACATCATAACGCACCATTTTGTTCTTTGGAAGCAGCTGAGCCGAGGGGGCGGAGGGTATACAGAAATACAAGAACCGTTGTTCCCTCAGCTAAAACCGCTCGCGGTGACAACCATCTCGACAAACGTCGAGAGACACATACGTACATGCCTTATCCAAGTGTCAGGGGTATGACGTTGTTGTTGTTATCTTCACATTTATCCCCGTTGCGATCTCTCTACTCAGTTTCTCCATCCGTACTGGTCCAACACTCTGCGAGATCGCTCGGCGTACTCAACAGACTTACGGGATGCTTGCTGACATTAGTTTTAGGCAAAAACATACAGCATGGAGTCCTCTGATCCTCTCTCCACGCTATGTGAGGCAAAAGCATAGCAGGAGAAGTCAAGTAAAACAAGTCAACACCACCACCAACGGCAGGATACACCCCATGATTCTACTTGGTACCCTAATGTTGCGGGGGGAGGTGTTCGTGTCGGGTTCTCGCTGGTCAGGCAAACAAATCTACTCCTCCCTAGCGATAATATGTCGAACTTAGAAATACACGAGCAATTGTCAGGCAATCGAGGCGACGACACAGGAAGCAGTCGTCCTAATTACCTGTGCTGACGACAGGGATAAGAGAACAGAAAACAGACAAAACGTAATCTGGAGGCTGTCTACGCCTCTCATACCGCTGCCCTCTGAAAACACACACCCTCCTTCCTGGTCCATGCTACAGAGAAGTGGGTGACAAGCTTCACGCGAAACTCTTCGAACCCTGGGGATGGTGTCTCGCTGTCGTTGTCGTCTCCCGTGCCTACATTTGGCTCACCCCCCCCCAACGGCCCGGCCGATCCCTGCCAGCCGGTCGCCTCTGTCATGACTTCCAGTTTGTCGTAGTGGTGAAGCATGTTGTGGAGGATGCACACCGTGAACCATGCGTTGTCGATGCTGCCGCGGGTCTTATAAGGAATGCCTGCCTCGAACAGGCGGAAGCGTCCCTTCACTCTTCCATAGCAGCACTCGATGTCCTTGCGCATGCTCTCCAACCGTCTGCTCCCATCATGCTCCTCGACCGTAGCATGATGCTTGATGGGTGGTATCAGCAGCGGGATCTGGTATGGACAAAAAAAAGAAAAAGGGATCGTTGTTTTATTATCTCGAACAGGTAATCTGTTTATGTTTTTTTTTTTTTTCCTAATTAAGTACTCTAGAGGTGCGGTAGGTAGCCACGAGCTTCTCCGCAAACAAAAATTGAAAACAAGGTACCTTCCATGAAGAATGCGAACAACAGCAGCAGCGCACTTCATGTTTTTTTCTTTGCTCTCGGGCGGTGTAGTTTTGCACACAGCTGTGCACGACACCAGTCGCTACCCTCCCCGCTTTTCGTCGGGATCGAAAGGGAGGCACTACAGCAGTAAAGCACTTTGTCTCGTGTCATGCGGAGACTTGGTTGCTTGGGAGAATCCGCAAAAAAAGGGCTCTAGTCTCAAGAGAGCGCCAGTATCGGAAATGCTGCGATCTCGTGGGCCCTCAGCGGTAGGAAATTCGTCTACACGTCTACACACACACAAGCCAAGAGGAGGTGCTGCCCGAACAAAACTCACCGGTGTGGTCGCATGTAGCCTCCACGACCACAGTCGGGTAACCCTCCTTGCCGGTGTTCATGCGAGCCTCCGAAGAGGGTCCGCCAGGCCACTTGAAGTGAGTGCAGTCCGTCGAACCCATCGCCCCCGGATAGCCGCTCTTCCGAAAGACCCGCTCCACCTCCTTCAGCTCGTCTCCAACCGGGAGTTTAACTCACGTGTCCCAGAGCGCCGCCGAAAACTTCTCGCAGAAGTGGTGGAATGATTTCTCGGCGGTCGCGACGCTCACCCCAGAGAAGGTGGCGACGTCCTGGAAGGAATATTCCGATGCTAAAACCTTCAGGGCCGCGCACACCTGTCGCCGCAGCAGCAGCGACGAACGGGAGACGGGCGTGTACGGCGGAGCAGCAAAAAAAGAAACATATGTGTCGGTATAAAAATAAGGTGTCTATTTGTTGCTGTGTGCCGTTCTGAACTTGAAAATCGGGAACAGCAGCACGTGTGCCATGGGATGTCAGCGCTACAAAAAAGGCGACAGCACTGCTGCTACGTACGACGGAGCGGAGGAATTACAAGTCTGGCACTCGCATTCCCGGCAGCACGGAAAAGAACAACAGCACGAGCCGATTGCAAGCCAGACGGCCTTCCGTACGGCAGTATGTAGTACAGCTCGCAGTCCTTGCAATAATGTTTTGGTACGACGGCTGCGTGCTGCGCGAGGAGCAGTACAAGGACATGTCAACGCAAAAAAATACAACACAGCACCACTGCTGCTACGAGCGGGGAAATCGACACGCCTGGTACTCGCACCCCGGCAACACTACCGTAAATGACAGAAGATACCACACCTCCTGGACCGATTTTGAAAGCTCGATTACTCCACGGCCAAGAGGATGCATGAACGAAACGATGCATTTTCGGAAAGCTCTCGGCGAGAGGGCTCCACGGCGGCGTTTTCGGTGCTGACTCCTTTTGCAGTTGAGAAATCGACCTTTGAAAATCGGTCCAGGGGGTGTGGTATCTTGTGTCAATTACGGTTGTAGGGACACGAGCAAAGGATCTTCCCCAGGGAGGGCGGTTTTGCCTTTCGCGGCCCGCAGATCTGCTTGTTACAATCCTGGAAGCGTCGACATCCTGACAGGGTTCCTGCCCGTGGACCTTGCGTGTGGGGACCAATTACCTTCTTCCCAGTTGTCACAGCAGTGTCCGTGCAGGGTCTATTGGCCCGCAAGGTCCACACAGGGGTTGCCGATGGCGTACAGGATAAATCAAGAGGGTGTACCGTAAGTGACACAAGATGGCACATTCTCAGAATATAGCAAAGCCCTAACACACCTTTCTCCGGGAACGCACACCCGGTCATTTGTTTTTGGACTCCGAAACAAGCGCCAATTTATCACACCGGTGACACAAGATAGCACACCCCCTACAGTTACGCCGCAGCCACGGAGCCTTATCATCGGTGGCTGGTGGCGGGTCGCACTAATGCGCACAGCCCGACGTGCAAACACGAACAGAGGCACACAGCTACTGTAGTATGCACACAAACAAGGACAATGAGGAGGTAGATTAGGTAGATATCCCATCTGACACAACCTTGCTGGAAGTGATGTCGCTTAGACGGTGCCATCCAGGTCTGTCTGAGCCGGCCTCCACGGGCGATCACATCATTATAAAAAAAAAAGTATCCCGCCGCCAATACAAACGATGAGACTCCATCAGCACCTGCCATCGCAAGTGCAGCCCGCTCAACAGCGAGTGTGCGCCGAAGACCGCACACTCGCTGTTGAGGACGGGGCAACAGAGTCTGCTGGGTGCTATGGCACCTCGCTTTATTTATCACACCCCTTGAAGGAATGGTGGAGCAGGTACAACATGTTATCACACCCCCTTGGCTTATCACATCCCCTGATAGCGGGCTCCGTCAACGTGCACATTATCACACCGGTCACACAAGATAGCGCACCCATTCCAAGAAAGCACACCCGGTAATAACTTTGCTAAGTTCGAAAATCTTATCACCAGGGTGTGCATTCTTGTGCAACATACGGTATGCGAGTGTGCACCCGCCGAATGTACTACTGTTGACAACGGCTTGTCCCCGAAGAAGGATATTCAGCATACTGCAGTAGAGGTACCTGTTTTTTATGTTTGTACTGCCAGTTGAATACAGTGCCGGTTTCCAGTATGGTGCCGAATAAATCTCAGCGCACAGCGAGAGCCCTCACTAGTTCCAGGCCGGCACTATTGAGGGATACCCGCTGTAGTGTCGGTGCGGGCAGTTCTGTACCCCACGATGGTGCTGGTTTACGCACCCACAGTCTACACCTCGCGGGGTCCCATGGCCCCGAAGGAGGATTATCTTCTGTTTTCAGCCGATTGAGACTGACGTACCCTATTGGTCAAACCGTTATTTTTGTTCAGCCGGTTAGCGCGGTAATGCTAACAAACACACAACTGAGAGAGTGTCGACAAAAATCAGTTGTATTATGCGTATTGGCGATGAAAGTGGTGGTGAAGAAAAGAGGACGGTGAAAGCACTCCGAAAAGAACGCGCATAAAGCGGAAGCCTTGGCAGACACGTATGTATGTTCTGTTGCTACCGTTTTTGTCACTAATTCAGAGTGCAGCACAGCCCCCCCCATGACGCCTCCTCACGCCCCCCCAGATCTTAGCCTTTCAAAGAATTTTGTGTTATCATCCGGACCCTTCATTCTGACGTCTTTTCATTGGTCAGCCCGTTGGCGCGGTCAATGCCAACTAAGAAAACATACACTACAATAAACGCACACACACGGGGTCGATGCGAAAACACAGACAGACGCACAACACGGGGTCCCAGATCATGGACTTTGACAACATTGTAATTTCCTGTTTTCACACGAGGACTGACGGTGTAAATTTGTCGGTCAGTCGGTTAGCGTGATCGGTGCTAACAATCACACACACACGCACTCACACATTTTCCCCTGCTCTCGATACATCGAAAGAACACAAGTAAAAGTCAGATTTTCGGCCTTTATCGCCAATATTTAGCAGGAGTATGATTCGCAAACATCATTGTTATCGCCCAAGATGTGCCTGATGAGTGTCTTCCTTTCACCGTTGAGTAAAGTGTTAATGAGCTTGCCCGGAAAGGTTTGATCCGTGTAAGGCCAGTGCCACCACTGTATGGTGTATCCTGTGCGATACTCAATGTGAAGAGTGTCGCGAAATTTCAGACTAATAACGTGTCTGTCCCACCCATTGACTTCTACATTAAAATCTGTGTAATCGACAGGGTAGGATTCACACGTATCGTGTCAAGGTCCGTCCACGCGACCCACGCATTCAGTCTTTTGGCATGTAACCTTGTGACAGGTTGTATCCCTTGCAGTGGCCATTATGTGTAGCAACAGTATGCAGAGGCTAACAGAGTGACGGAAAAGAAGACTTGTATTAGACCAGCCTAAATGGTTTGAATTGGGGCTGACTCCGCCGAAATGTAAGGAAAGAGGGAGGCAGAGTCCTGAGCCTCGCAAGAGCCCCGAAGATTCTGGAAGGACTCAAGGGCCTGGGGAGATGTAGGAAAAAATAAAGATGGAGAGAGTGAGAGATTGACGGGGGCGAGCTATAAATGCATATCCCGGAAGAATGACACGTAAGGGCTGTTGACCAACTTGTAGCCACGTTACAAGGCTATTCTTTCGGACAAGAGTCCGATGTATATGTCCTCTATGTATCAATGTATTTTCATTAGGTAGGTGTACAATGATCCGATTACTGAATCAACATTCTGAAGACTTTTTCCGTAATACTGCTTCGGTGGCTTCCCAAGCACTCCTACAGTTTACCTTAAAACAAATACTTATGACTGGCATTAAGTACTTGAACAATGTCCGCCGCCTCTCGGGGGTCTCCAAGCCCAGATGACATTCACACACTGTAGCTCCGTCACAGGGTCCAGATCGTGCCTTCTTGACGCACTGAAGTACGACCAATCGCACTGAAGTCTTTTCATTGGTCAGCCGGTTAGAGCAGCAGCCTCGGCGAAAATGCCTCAGTATTTAACCCGGGGATCCCGGTACATATCCCCGGCTCAGCTGAAACGACTCCGCATGAAACCTGGGGATCTCTGAGAACAATCCCCGCCCGCACCCCCGGAACCCAGATTTTTATTTGTGGGCTTGCGGGTGCTAAGAAAAAATCGACGCAAACCCTTTTTGCTGCCTCAATAGGACGATAAATGGTTGGCAGACACAAATACTGTAGGTATAGCCATCGGGTAGAGCGGTGTGGAAAACGGCACAGTCTCAGCAGTTCAAGCACAGCCAGCCCATTGCTCGTCATCTCACGCACTCTCTCTTTTCGGGTGGTTTGCTTGCTTCCTAGTATTTATTCGCTTCCCTCGTCCCCTGTAGGCATGACCCTATCCTGTCCGATGGAGCACAACACAGATCATGTTGAGTCTCA